ACATCAACTCAAGGGTGTGTCCAACATCAACTCAAGGCTGTGTACAACATCAACTCAAGGGTGTGTACACCATCAACTCAAGGGTGTGTCCACCATCAACTTAAGGGTGTGTCCACCATCAACTCAAGGATGTGTACTTTGGATGCACCGTCGCGGAAAGATGTGGCGGATTGAGATCGCAAAGAAAGGTGATGTGGTGGATTGAGACAGCAAAGAAAGGTGATGTGGTGGATTGAGACAGCAAAGAAAGGTGATGTGGTGGATTGAGACAGCAAAGAAAGGTGATGTGGTGGATTGAGACAGCAAAGAAAGGTGATGTGGTGGATTGAGACAGCAAAGAAAGGTGATGTGGCGGACAGAGCGTTTCAACTCCATTAACTGTCGCATTTTTAATTTGGGCGGTATTTTGAAACGGCTTTTCTCTGACGTGTATTCTGTATTTCTTGTGATTTAAGTGAGTGGCCAAGTCTATAATAGCCCAATCTCGCGGCCAAGTCTATAATAACCCATGTCACGGCAAAGTCTATAATAACCCATGTCACGGCAAAGTCTATAATAACCCATGTCACGGCAAAGTCTATAATAACCCATGTCACGGCAAAGTCTATAATAACACCTGTCACGGCAAAGTCTATAATAACCCATCTCACGGCAAAATCTATAATAACCCATGGCACGGCAAAGTCTATAATAACCCATCTTACGGCAAAGTCTATAATAACCCATCTTACGGCAAAGTCTATAATAACCCATCTTACGGCAAAGTCTATGATAACCCATCTCACGGCAAAGTCTATAATAACCCATCTCACGGCAAAGTCTATAATAACACATGTCACGGCAAAGTCTATAATAACCCATCTCACGGCAAAGTCTATAATAACCCATCTCACGGCAAAGTCTATAATAACCCATCTCACGGCAAAGTCTATAATAACCCATCTTACGGCAAAGTCTATAATAACCCATCTCACGGCAAAGTCTATAATAACCCATCTCACGGCAAAGTCTATAATAACCCATCTCACGGCAAAGTCTATAATAACCCATGTCACGGCAAAGTTTATAATAACCCATCTCACGGCAAAGTCTATAATAACCCAATCTCACGGCAAGGTCTATAATAACCCATGTCACGGCCAAGTCTATAATAACCTATCTCACGGCAAAGTCTATAATAACCCATGTCACGGCCAAGTCTATAATAACCCACGTCACGGCAAAGTCTATAATAGCCCATGTCATTCCAAAATCTATGATAACCCATGTTGTAGCTAAGTCTGTAATTATAATAACCCATAGCAATTAATGCCAATGTTATTTTCAGATGGATCTACTCAGTCGTGGAAATTTTTCTGTCTGAGACTAAAGTCTTCTTGATTGTTCTGCCCTGGCTGCTCTTCCCAGACATCAGAGAGCGTGTCAAGACGTGGAGACCGTGGCACTGTGCCAAACCTGGCATCGACTTGACACTTGTCTTTAAGAACGATCATACTTAGACTGTTGAGTTATTTCACCGAGCATAGACAGCAGTGTTCGGGGTTCAAATTATTACACCCACCCCCACCCCAGACACACACACTTTTTTTCATATTGTGTATTAAAATTACCCTTGTATATTTAGTTTTAAAATTATCACTGTATATTGTGTTTTAAAATTACCCCTTTATATAGTGTTTTAAAATTAACCCTTTATATTGGGTTTTAAAATTAACTCTTTTAATTGTGTTTTAAAATTACCACTTTATTGTGTTTTAAAATTACCACTTTATTGTGTTTTAAAATTAACCCTTTAAGTTCTGTTTTAATTTTAACAAAACGAACACAAAGAACCAATTTCGCTGTGAAGAATGTGTTGAATAAAAGATTTAAGTTTGATCCACACAATCCTAACACAGTCCTAACACATCCACTGGTTTTGCCTTATACTGAAGCTAAATGATGATAAAACGGAAATCCTTCTCATCCACTCTCAAAACAAACCTCTCCCTCCATCCGCTCCTTCTTCTATATCTATTGGCAACTCTGACATCACACTCTCTTCCTCTGTCAGAAACCTTGGAGTCGCGCTTACGGACACCCTCTCCATGGACAAACATGTCACGAACATATGCAGATCAGCATACAACGAAATTAGAAAAATCAGCACCATTGGACACCTCCCCTCCTTTGATGCCACAAAATCTCTCGTCTCTTCACTCATTCTTTCAAAATTTGACTACTGTAACACTTTTCTCGCAGGCATTCCTCAACACCACATAGACAAACTTCAGAAGGCACAGAACTCAGCATGCAGACTCATTTTTAAATCAAACAAACATGACCACATTCAACCACACATGCGGCAACTCCACTGGCTTCCAATATCCTCTAGCATCAAGTACAAGTCTGCCAATCTATGCTTCAACTCGTTTATTGACCCTAACTTTCCTGTCTATCTCTCTGAACTGTTGCTTCCTTACACCCCCACAAGACAACTACGCTCTTCCATTGACAGTAGAACCCTCTCAATCCCAAGAACCAAAACTAAGACCATCGGCGAACGCTCCTTCTACTTCCATGCGCCCACGTTCTGGAACCAGCTTCCCTTCCACATCCGTCATTGTGAAACCACGTCCACTTTCAAAAAGTCCCTTAAAACCCATCTGTTTAGGTCGACCTATGTCCTGTGATGCACCCTCCTTGCCCTGCCTCATTTTCTGTCCCGGGTTGATCCTGTAGTATAGGCCAAAACGTGCCAAAGTGTACTCGTTTTTATTGCCATTTTAATGTTTAAGCTACTGTTTCTATAGTCATTTTTCACATTGTAGTTACTATTCTAGTGTCTCTAGTTTTTCCCTTTTATTTTACTTTAGCAGTTTAAATAGTCTACATATTTTTAATAATTGTAAAGCGCTTAGAGCTGTAAGGTAAGCGCTATAGAAAATGTCTAAATAAATAAATAAACATTAAGATGCTTTGTCAAGTTTTAAAAAAAATAATTTAACCTGTATCTCTACACTAGGAAAACTTAAATTTAAATACATGATTTCATAGTCAATGAATACTAATAGATCTATACATTACTAAATAAGGTAAATTACTCTAAATAGCTATAGTAAAGTTAGCATGACAACATCAGCAAAGTTTTGTAACATGGAGCTGGTGGTCACCAAGAAAATGAGAAAGGGGAAAAAAGAGGGGGAAAAGAACGAAACAAAGTTGGCCTATTATAAATAAATAATAAAGTAAACATTCCTGGATATTGAGGAAGTTAATTATGAAGGTTTTATTCTGCTGCCCTTTCAGATTTCTCATCAGGCTCTTGGATAGGCTACCTAAATATTTTTTTCTGAAATGGTTCTATTTTTTTTTTAATCTGTAAATTAAATTTAAGTTTAGTTAAGCTTTATTGCTGCTTGTTTTGTGTTACTATAATTAATATTATAAATGGAAATTGGAAAGTTTACAATTTTTAATTTAAAGGGGCGTAGCTCTAACAAACTAGTTCTTTTTACCCAGTTGGCTATTGTCTTCCCTTTCTTAGTAGGTCACGGAGACACCTATTGACAACAATGCAATGAGATTTCAGAAACTCCTAAATAACATGTGTATATTAAAAACATTTTAAAAATGTATAATGTGAAGAAAGTTCTGATTTGTAATAACTAAGGAACTATAAAACAAACTTCATTTTTACAACATATATTTTAAAATTTCTTCTATTGATCTGAAAATTATTAGCTTTATATTTAAGTAAGTGTAAGTTAAGTTTATACCTGAAAAGTTGGTAGTAGGTTATCCTTTGTTTTTTTCACGACTATTTAAAATTGGACCCAAATATATTGTAGGCATTTCCATAAGTCTCCGACATCTTCGACTTTCTTCTAATAATATCATATATCTTTAAGTATCTCATAGCTAAAAATTAAAATTAAGTGTCGGCTAAGTGAGGAAATCTAAATTAAACAACTTAGGCATGTCTGTTGTTCAACCACGTCATCATACTTGATGTGTAATCATATTTTTTTTTTCTTTTTTATCAGGCATCCATTTCTTTAACGTTATTAATTGAAATTTAACAAAATAGTAAAGACATATTTCTTTTAAACGTTTTTTCCATGAAGTTAGTTGTTTTCAAATGTTTACACTTACATATTTGAATATTACCTTTCTAGTTATTTTTAAGAAACAATGTACCACAAAGAACTGACTGTCTCTCACCACCACTTTTTAAGATAGTTTTTTTAGGGGCGGAACCGATGGTGTCGTCTAGGACACACGATGTCACCAGTATCCCTTACAACGACCGAGTTTCTTCAGACACGCCCACTTTAACACTGGTGCAAAGTTGACACGATGTAGATATAACTTGTAGCAAATTTCGAATGCATGTATTGTTTTTTCGACTCTTACTGATATGCCAAATATGTTCTCATTTTTTAAAAAATCAACATGTATATCCTTGCATTGTAACAATATTAATCCTGGAGATGACGAAAAAAACAACACATTAGAACTTTTTCCCGACTCCGGCAACACTTAAAATATTCGGATGACGACTACTGACTCCGACTCCGATACCACCGATGTGAAATGCCCGGTATTTGAAATAATTAAAAACTAAGGAGAAAAGTGGAGAAAAAAAAATAAAGCACACAAAAAGAAACAAAATGAAATATAATTTTTAAGAAAAACTTGATTTTATTTAAATTTAATCCATATGCATCATTGTTAAAGGATGGCTTTTCAAATGAAATACGGCTGGCGACCTATGGGTATTACTAATAGTTTATTAATAGTACATTGCAAAATAGTAATAGTAAATATAGTGGGCCCAAATTTAGTGACCATGCAAAATAAAAGATACATTAAATTATGAATGTAAAAAAAAATAATTCAATAATATGTCTTTTATTCTGCAAAAGCTTTAGTTAATGGGGTTAAGCTGCCTTTAAATTGAATCTTTACATTTACAGCCGATTGCAAATAGCTTTTTACATTCTTAATTCTTAACTTTACAATAGCTATATCTGGAGCATCAGTAGCTACTCACTACTCAGACGAACCTTTGGAATAGCTCGGTAGCTAGACATACCTAAACAAATCTGCTCAAACACACAAAAAGATCAGTTAGTATTATCAAAGTAAAAGGAAAGCAAAATGCGCCCTGCTGCTATCGTCGCTGACGAAATGTTTCCAGAAGGAGCTGGATCTTATATGGAAATGGAAGAGGTAATGGATTACAATTACAGACTTAATTCTTTTAGACCTTTGCTGTCGGTGTAGTTTGGTGAAAATTTAAAAACAATGTTTTGAATTCACTCATAAAAACTCATTGCACTTAAAGTGGAGTGCTCACACTCCCAAAGCCAAAGAGGCCCTGGCATTATGTGTCAGCTACGATTAGCAGTTAATAGCAGTAGATTAATTATTAATAATATATGTTGCCTGGCACAGTGAGGTGACAACACTAATAATACTAATATTTCACGTATCTTGCAAATGAGCTGAAGACTGTCAAGTATTTTTTGTAATTATTTTATCAAATCACACACAGCTTTCATGAATCAAAAATCATAGGCCATATGAAATATCATTGGGTTGGGCATCTGTAAATATGAAAAGTCCCAAAAATAGGTGATTGAGTCATCCTACCTGCAATTAGTGAAGCACTGACTTTATACACAAGGCGGGATGAGTTAAGTTTCCGTGAAAATTTATCTTTGCCTCTAACATAAAACATAAAAATAAAAGAGATTCTATCATGGGTTGCTAGTTGCAAGGCAAGGAAAAATATATTCTTGGGTGGAGGGGGTCGATATTATTATTTATTTTTCAAATAATTACAAGACCAAATACCGTATATTTATTACGTACCATTCATTGCCACCAACATCTTGGTGATAAAAAAATCCTCAGTCACCGTCATTAATGAAACGAATTAAATTTTAGCTCATGTCTCATGGTCAAAAGGAATGACTATTCCTGAGACTCTGTGTTGTCAGGGATGCAGAATTTCTTCTTCATAGTGACATTCATCAGCACAAATGCTTATCTGAGTGCTAACTCATATGAAATAAAATCGACATTGTTTTTAACTCAGAAATATTTGATAAGTTCAATGAAAATAAATTTGAAGTTTCAAGAGAATAGAATAGAAATATTAGATAAATTCAATGAAAATAAATTTGAAGTTTCAAGAGAATAGAATAGAAATATTTGATAAATTCAATGAAAATAAATTTGAAGTTTCAAGAGAATAGAATCAATATTTTAAGTACTTAATTTTTCTCCCTCACTGTTGAATGAAAACTGACCCATTTTTAATCACTACTTTTGGAATAGTCACATCAAATACTAATTTCCAAGTTCAATTGAACTACAAGGGAGAATGGTAAAATACAAGATGCTCACCTCATTGCACTTTGTTACCGTTTGGAGAAGCCACAAAGATAATTTTATGATCCTCTTTTTATGAATATCACAGTGTAAATCATAAATAAATTTTTGTGATTGATGCAGTTGTTGAAGCGGAGGAGAGGTTTATTCAGCCAAACATGATATTGTGAGAAAACCAAGAGTTTTAGTCAGGCGTAGTTGTGACATTTTCGATCATATTCTGCATGGTGGAAGGTGTTGAAGAAGCTCCTTGATGCCTTCTGAACATTGGGGTTAGGGGAAGATGGTTTTAGTGCGGTCATTTAAAATTGCTCCAAGCAAATAAATAGCACACAGATATAAAACAGATATGAAAATAGTGAATTTTAAATTGAATATACCTATAAAAGACACTTAAAACTGCTATCACTTATCAAGCCCATTCATCGCTTCAAGAATAATTTACTAGCCAAGCCAGGAGCCAGAATATTTAATTACATTGATCGTAGGCCCTTGAAATATAGAAAGAAGAAGCCATTAGATATATACATATATAATATATATGAATGGCATCCCTCCGTCTTCGCGAGACGATGGAGTAGCTATGTAGTGCTACACTTTGACGAGTTGCTCACTAGGCCAATCCTAGAATGACAATCTCGACTGATTTTCTCGCAGGAGAATATTGATTCCTGGTAAGGTTTTGACTTCTGTATTGTTTTTTTTGTTGCAAGGGCCTCGTTTCGCGTATCTTCTGCCTTTTTTACTCCTGCATACACTGCTGTTCCCAGCTGGAATGTTGTTCGGCAATGAGCTGCAATTCGTTGTTTTCAATATTGGCTTCCCTCATGCTCCTTTTGCATAAATCTTGGGCATGGCTGTCCAATAAGTCTTGTCTCTTCTGCCAACTCTCCATAGAGCAGCATCTTTGGGATACTGCCTTCCTCCATTCTCCTTACGTGGCATATATATATATATATATATAAATATATAAACTCTTGCTAAATAACAAATCTTCTTTTTTTTTTAAATATCAAAGTTATTGCTTGATCAGCTTATTATTGAATTAATAAAAGTGGAACATAACAATTGTAGTTTGATGAAATGTTAAAATAACTGTTACACTTTATGTTTAGTTGTATATACAGTACAGGACACTTTATATTTAGTTGTATATACAGTACAGGGTCATGCAAAGTTTTATTCTGGTTCTAATAATCTATTTAATGGAGTAAGACATGGGGGAGGTCAGAGTGAGTTTATGGCCCCAAGGGGGCACTGGTCGGAAAGAGTTTAACCCCGAACTGTCCATTGTATGTTTCTGTACTGTGCAGGCAATTTAGAGCTTTGTGGGTGCCTTTGAAAAATTTGATTTTTCACATGCAAATACTATAGCTAGAACCCATAAAGTATATATTTATTGAAAGTAGACTGGGTGGGAAATCATACTGGCTATTTTTTAATGATATTTTATACTCGCTGACCATGACCTTGACCTGGGAGTGACCAAAAATAAAGAAAAATTTTCTTTTCAAGGACCTCAAACTACAATTTTTTTTAAGGCAAATTAGAATAATGTTTATATAATATGATATTAATTTTATTTATCTTTCAGAAAATGTATTATTTGTATATGTTTTAGTTATTAATAAATTTTTTTTTTTTAATTCTCCTGATACCTTTATTTACGATCAATTTGAACTTCAAGTAACAAAACATGACATAAACAATGTAAACATTACTAAAATGCAAGAAAAAAATAAAATTTAAAAAGCTGCTATATAAATATTTAATCTATAAAATGAAATATAAGAAAACATATATAGAACACCATCCAATTATTTTTTATTGGTACAAAATCATCTGCAACATAGTTTTGATCAAGTCATATTGTTGCGGCAACTCCTACTCGCTTTAGGCCTGGCCTAGGTTTAAATAAAAATTTACGACCTTTCGCTTTCTGACCCCCTAGAAAAATAATCGGAATTATCATTGTTTTCGTGTGTGATCGGCAAATCATCTTCTGAACATTTAAGTCATTAGCTTGAAAGAATTTTCAAAAAGATTCCTAACTGATTTATTTTGTAATCCAATTGATTCAGCTATGTTCTCATCCACTTCGCGAAAATCTACTGACAAAAATTTGCTTGATAAAGATCGTTGTAAAAAAAAATCCAAAGTTTAAAAAAAGGACACAGAAGAGCGAAAAACGGAAGTTTGTTTATTATTTAAAGGAAGTAGTTTTCTTTAGGGTAAAATATTGGACTGGAACTTATTCTTTCAACGCATTTTTAGCGGCCTTTTTCATCGGCCGAAACAGTTGGGGAAGAGGAAATCGGCCGATGACAGCTCGTGGGTTGAGAACCTATTTAATTAATTGCACAGCTAAAAACATACATAAAAAATGTTTTAAAATGTGCATATAAACATTTGGACCCGGTTATGTTTCATTGGGCAGGTTTCCTCCGGCTGTCTAATTCTGGATCAGTATCCGACTAAGGCTTACAAAATAGAGTGACAACATTTAAGGATGGTCCTTATGTGGGGAAAATAAAGAAAAAAAACCCCACATAATAATTTTATTAAAGTATTAATATATTAATTTTATTTATATTAGGCCTACTTATTTATTGGAATCATACACTTGAAGGCTATTTTTGTCTAATCCTTTACTTTCATAAATTTATACTGAAACGAGGTGGGTAGTCATTAGAATTTGGGGAGTGTGCAAGATAAGGCCTAACCGAGCCTCACTGGCATATCCCGAGCCATGTACTATACATTGACCACCATCATTAAAGTGTTGAGTAATAGCTTGCAAACTAGAAACATTTTCATCCTGACCCGACTAAATTTACTGTTGGTAAATGTTGCTCAAGTTATTCTTTCTCTCGTTAATCACTAGACCGAGGCGTAGGGTGCCACACTTAAGAATACTTGGTCGCCATCATTGTTCCATTTATCTTAATCATTCAAGACCACATTCGACAAATCTTAGATTCATCCGTGGGTACGCTCAGAATTAATAATGCGTTAATAACAATACATTTGGTGTATATGATGAAGTAGCAATAGTGTATATTATGAAGTAAATGAAACAAATTCTTGCTGCCTTTACTCATTGCAATGTAGCATAAACTAAGTTAGCAGTATAATTTGAAGAGGTGAACATACAACATCAATTCCTTTTACAAATCAGGCTGGTGGATCCACTGCCCTACTTATGGACTTGGCAGCCAATGAGAAAGCTGTGCACTCGGATTTTTTCAATGGTAAGCATTAAGGGGTTAGTCTAATGAAATTTTTTTTTAATTTAAAAAAGTTAATGAATTACAAGGCCAAGGCTTTTAGCGATTATGAAACAGCACACTTTTTAAAACCAGAAGTATGCTCTTACCAGAAAAGTGAATAATTTAGTCTATAACTATAATGTTATATGGATTTTTCTTGTAAAGTATATTTAGTGCACAAATTTGAATAGGATCCCTATCAAAAATGCACTATTGTATTTTTTTTATTTTTTAGACTTTGATGACTTGTTTGATGATGAAGACCTTTCCTGACCTGATTATGTTGTTTGATGATGAAGACCTTTGGTGACCAGATTAAGTTGTTTAAATGATCAAATCGTAACAAATGTGGCAGTGAGAATGCAAGGTATTTTCTGTGAATGATATGTGTACATAAAAAGTGTGAAAGAAGGGGATTGTGGGATAAAACAAAAAAACATGGTGAGTAAATGTGGCATTTGTGTGTCACGTGGCATCGTACCATCTTGAATAAACATTCACATCCTGTTTATGGGGGTTGTTGTTTTCGTGTGGACAGTTTATATTACTAATTAAATATGTGCGGGATTTGTCTTGCGCTGGTTGAATTTGTTAAAAATGTGGATCAATCTTACAGTAGAAGTTTTACTTCGTTTAGGTACCGGTACCCGTAAATGAAACAAAAAACATGTGTGCCTCAAGGTTTGCTACCAATATTTGAGATCTTGTTACCTCCTGTGTCTTTTTTAAATGTTTAGAATGCATTAGTTATCTGGAGGTAAAGATAATTATTTAAGCATTTTAATCACCTACAGTAAATTTAGACATTAGTGTTCTTATACATGTTGTGGGTAAAAAAACAACAACTGTTTCCCTCTTCGCACCCATTTATAAATTATAAAAATACAAGTAAGCATCAGAAGCTTTGTAGAATGGCATTTTGAATGCAGTTTAATGACATTTGACGTTAATGACATTTGACGTAAATGACATTTGACGTAAATGACATTTGACGTAAATGGCATTTGACGCACATTTTCAAGAATGTACAACAAAAACTTTTTTCTTTTAGTATTTGACAATAAATATATACATGATTCAATATAAAAGTATCCAAATTATGAAACAAATATTATAAATAAACTTGTATGGACATTGAAGATTAAATGTAATTAATTTCAATAAATATTCTTATCCCCGTAGGCAAAAATTACAATCTAGTCAAATTTTCATCAGTGTTTGAGATACATTTATAAAAATTGATAAAACGATCCAAAGAGTTCCATGCTTACTAATTAAAATGCTAATTTCTGTGTGGAGAATATACTACTAAGGCCATATAATAAATATTATCACCTAGCAATATACTTTTCTTCATTTATTCATTTCATAATAAAAAAACATTATTTAAAGAAATATATCTTTCGTATATTATATTTTATATACATTTTTACATTTTAAATGAAAGACGATCCTATGTCACGATGGACATGGAAAAACCTCTTTATATAAACAGTTTATCTAAATTCCTTTGCTTAGACAGATACCGTTATACCGCTTGATAAACATATAATTAGTTTCCTTTATGTAGATTACAAAGAATTTTTTTGCAATCACAAGTATGTACCTTAAGATACTCATGAATTGGTCGCACATTCGGTTTGGGGAGTAAAATGGCCCCTTTTTAACTTGAACATACCGGTAACTTAATATTTGCCAGACATCGCAAAGATGTTTCCATAGCAACTTGAAAACTGAAAAGCGATTGTCACCTATGTGATCTCTAACAAACATTTAAAAAAACAGATTGTACTTAAACTCACGCAAGGTAGAAAACAATTTTCTGATATTATATTAATGACTACTTCACGCTGAATAACAGCGCAATCTATGTCAAGTTGAGAGGTGACAACCCTGATTTTATGGAAATATTTTGTAAAAAAAAAGAAAATGCTACCTTTAAAGCAAGGATCTTTAGTTATTGTAAAAAGTTGGACTGTGTTAAAACTGTGATTAGAAAAATCTAATGTAACAGATTTGTTTAACTTGGTAAATGAAGACAAAATACTAGTGAAACATTAATCCTACAGGTCAATGATTTTTAAAAAAGTTATAATACTGAAAAATATACGTGGACCCTGCAGATTCCTTTCTGTTTCTTCAGCTTTCATTTTGATTAAAGAACATACAAAACATTATACAGACTAATGATCTAGTGACTTCTCACCTTGCTTATACTTACATACATGTTCATTAAATTTATTTCAAAACTCACATATAGGCATATTTGTTCAATTTTCTCAGCTACAGTAGACTTGTGCATGAAAACATGTTTAAATGCATTGATCCTGGAATACATGAGATCACAGGACCACAAACTATCTTGCAAAACTCATATATCTATATATACATATATATATATGTGTGTACTAATGTGTTACAGTAAAGTAACAGTCCTGAAACATCCACAAGGTTCAGGGTCCATAATTACAAGGAAGAATAGTACAAGTTCATTTTGTATCTTTGGGTTACAAATGCTGCTCAGTCACACAGACCTGAAAATTTAACCAAACCAACAAAAGATCATTTAAATGTTTAGAACAATTGATGAAATCATTGATAATTCTCACATAGTCCCACCATTGCAACTTATAATTATCAATAAATGCTAGCTCTCAAGCTAAACTTTTTTTTTGTACCGTAACTGACCTTTCCTTTTAAATTCTTAATGTGATGCCCTTTCTTCATTTATTATTCCAATCTATTGAAAACAACATTAGGGGTCATCCATAAAGTCCATGACATTCAAGTGAGGGTCTAAGAAATTATATGTGATGTCATATTTTTTCTTTCACTTTCATACATATTAAAGCTGAAATCAACAGTGATGTTAACTTTCTGTTGTGATGTATGTTTTCTGAAATAAAATGCCACTTAGTAGTAATTGTAATGGTGGATATTATTTTTTTTTTTAGATCGATCTTTAATTAGTTGCTAATTTTTTAAACCTCTTTTTATCATTGAAAAAAAAAAAGGGGGGTGTTAAAAATAAAAAAAATAGCATGCTGTACTTTATGGGGGTCCCTTACTTAAAACTCTGTAATGATTTTTTTTTAAAACTAATACTAAAATAAATTGTAAAAGTCACAATTATAAATAAACAACAATTCATTGAAGGCATTTAAACCTGAACATCAACAAGTAAGTCGTGGGTGTGTTAAAGTCAATAAAATGATAGAGCAACATCTGTCCCTTCTACTTACAAACAAAGTAATATCACACAATCACAATCTCTTCATTAAAACAGTATGTAGTTTTAGTAATAGGAGCGTATTTCATGTACCCTACAAGACTTTTTGTAGAGGTCAATATTCCAAGGCTGCCAAGTTCACAAACAAAATAACGACCATTACAAAGGTTATTATTATTAATTTGATTTCATCTTTTGCTTCTTTTTATGGATAGAAATAATGAATAAATCTTAGATTCTCATTGTTCAAGTATCAGGTGACCTCATTTGGCCTGTGACCTCACTATGGCCTTGAAAGTTGAACTTGGCGAACAAACTTTCTCACTCTGAATTTGGCTACCCTGCTATAAAAAATTAAAAGCTAAATGTAAATTTATAGAAAAATGACCGTCTTAATGAAATGAAAAAATAACAGAAACATATAATAATAACAAAAATTTCAGGAGTTCAATCAAAATTAAATTAAACAGCACTCCAGTTGCTGCCGATGTAGTTGATGAAAGAAGATACCATTTTCTGCAATAGTCAACAAATATTGTAAGATGATGGTCTTAATTTTCTGCCTGTGTAAGGGCCGATCTAGACCACAGCATGTTGTTGCCACCAACCTTTTTTTTAAAAGTTTTTTTTATATTTATTTAAATAAACATTGACACTTCAAAAGGTTTTTTGACAAAGTGGTCAAAACTTGCCGAAAAACCCCCACCAAAAAACTGTAAAGTTCTTTCATGATTATTTCTGCTTTTTAAAAATTACAACATACAAATGAAGCTGTGGAGAAGATTCACACCTCTGTGGCACAATTATCTACATTGGAACCGATCCGGTACACACTCGATGTATGCTTTTGAGTGAAGTAAATAACACAGACATGAAAATAAATAGCATGTGAAGTTTAGCTATGGTTTCACTGGCAAGATTATTGAAGCTGTACTGAAGAACGACAAGGAGCAATAAGTTGTAACAATATGATTGGTCGTCGCAGTAAAGAACATAATTAAAAATAGACAGTGAGCTCTTGTTTTTGTGAACCGGGAACAGTTAAATCAGTAGCAATATTTTCCTGAAAATAAAAATTGTATCCTGTGAGTTTGTAAACATCCATTTTTCAATATGTACAAAATCATTGAAAGTTTAAATATATCAATGACACAGAATGTTAAGCTTTAGTTATGATTATAATGAAGACAAATGCAAATTATGTCTTCACAACCAAAAACATTCATATAAATGTAACATAAATTAAATTTACATAATATTAATATATATATATTATATATATATGTATGTATTCTAACTAAAAATGAAAGAAAAGAATAAGAAGGGGCACAAGTCTCTCGTGAAAATCTAACTAAAAACGAAAGAAAAGAATAAGAAGGGGCACAAGTCCCTCGTGAAAACAAAGCTCAGAAGAGAAAGAAAAAGGATGGAAGTAAAATTTAAAATCCAAACTTAAAAGATTGTTCTAAGTCTTGTTCTAAGTCTTGTTCTAAGTCTTGTTCTAAGTCTTAGAAGCAAATTTTAAAAAAAAAATGTATGTCCTTTAAAAAAATCAAATTTTTTCAAATTAAATTGTTCCGCAGCCCTTCTCTTCCATACTTAAGTTAGTACATCAAAATTATAAATCACTGAAGCATTTCTCTAAACTGCTCTTAGGGTAGGAGAGAGTTGGTGAATGAACCCTTGAGGCAGTACCACCTTACCTCGCTAGAAGATGTCGGCTCTGGCGAAGTGCTTTCATCCCAGAATGCCCCATTTTCCTCTGGCACTTTAGTCTGGGCCAGTGACCCAGGCATTAGGATCTTTTTAACTTCTGTGGGACTTAATGTAAAACTTCTGTCACTGTCACTGCTTTCTCGATATGTGCTCAGCGACCTTTGCGGAAAATAGAGAAATTTAAAAAAAAAAATCATGGTGACCTTCACATTATAAACATTAGGGCCTATAGTTTTACAAAATTGACTAAGATCAGATGATAAATTTCAGGTTTAAGTCAAAGGCTAATTGATTTTGATAATCTTGGGCTCATGAATTTAAGAGATGGAGACAATTATGGGCTTATAAATTTCCTTAAATACCGTAAATCAATCAAAAACTAAGTTCCTATGGGGTACTGAATTATGAGGAACAGAAAATTTCAATAAAGCACTCTTCCTTGCAGAAGCATCACTGTTAAGGACTTGAATTTAAATTGTGATTGCGTGTTGTTTAGAGAGTATTTGGTTAGATCTTGTTATTAGGTGTTTGATATTTTGTGAAGTATTGTGCGAAAGGGGATATGACATATTATTATTGTTGAGAGTAGCGTGGTCTGTGAGTTATGGCAGTTGAGATCTACAGTATTTCAATATTAATAATCAATGGTTTGTGAAGTTAATATAATTAACCCCTAGGCAGAACGTAGCCATCGAACCTGTGGGTAGAACTGGGTTCGTAACAGTCACTAGAGTTGATGTAACCAGGTGCGATAAACTCATAGTGTCACACAGCCATCCCTGACTTGCACCAAGTAATTCTTAACCATATCATTGTGAATCACTTAAAATATTGTTGTAAATTAAGTCTTAAAGGGAAAAAAACACATTAGAAGAAAACATAGAATTTGACCTAAAAGCATTTAAAAAATGCACAAAAAAAAATTATTGAAACATTTAAAATTGTCAGTTAAATATTTCCTTTCCCGGCCTTCAAATTCATCAAACCTGTCAATCACTTCATCAAACCTGTCAATCACTTCATCAAACCTGTCAATCACTTCATCAATCCTGTCAATCACTTCATCAAACATGTCAATCACTTCATCAATCCTGCAATCACTTCATCAAACCTGTCAATGACTTCATCAAACCTGTCAATCACTTCATCAAACCTGTCAATCACTTCATCAAACCTGTCAATGACTTCATCAAACCTGTCAATCACTTCATCAAACCTGTCAATGACTTCATCAAACCTGTCAATCACTTCATCAAACCTGTCAATGACTTCATCAAACCTGTCAATCACTTCATCAAACATGTCAATCACTTCATCAATCCTGCAATCACTTCATCAAACCTGTCAATCACTTCATCAAACATGTCAATCACTTCATCAATCCTGCAATCACTTCATCAAACCTGTCAATGACTTCATCAAACCTGTCAATGACTTCATCAAACCTGTCAATCACTTCATCAAACCTGTCAATCACTTCATCAAACCTGTCAATCACTTCATCAAACCTGTCAATCACTTCATCAAACATGTCAATCACTTCATCAATCCTGCAATCACTTCATCAAACCTGTCAATCGCTTAATCAACCAAAAAGAAACCACATAGCCAAGGTCACACAATAAATCTCTAAACCAAATATGCTCACTAACAAATCACAAACCAAAACATGCATGAAGCAAATCATTAACGATTGCTATGTATCAAGACACTCCTCACCCATTTCTATAAAATGGAGCCAAGGCATCTTTATTTCTGGGTGAGTAGTCATCGCTGTCACCACTTCCCTGGCTGTTGTTATCCGTATTCTCAATGTCGGTCGTCTCATTGGCTGCGTCATAGTTTGGGTTACTGAATGGGATCACAGTGGTCTCCACCTACAAATAAGACAAGACTGAACCAATTTCTATGAACTCTTGTCTCCACCCACAAATAAGACAATATTGAAACAATTTCTAATAACCTTTGTCTCCACCTAAAAATAAGACAATATTGAACCAATTTCTAATCACCTTTGTCTCCATCTAAAAATAAGACAATATTGAACCAATTTCTAATAACTCTTGTCTCCTCTTCATGCCCTTATTTTATAACTTATTGGTTAAGTCATTTTTACAATCCTACCATTGTCTCATTTACATTTAATTTCCAGTACGGTATTCAAACTTAATGAAACTCACGCTGAGCCAATCACTGTCCAGCATCACAGAGCTTATCATTGATCAATTTGTTAAACACATTTTATTTATAAGCTTCCTTTTAAACTGAATATGAGTCTGACCTGTATCTCATTACTGTAGGACGGTTCAGCCTCTGAATCAACATTTATGAAGTTGTAATATGATCCCTTGTTGGAAATGTTCAAAGGATTATCCTGCTGAAAAATTTGAAACGGCGAGAAAATAAAAATTTGTAGCACTTTAAACTATTTAAAGGGTGAACAATTAAATTCATTCCAATCAGACATCGCCCAACATTTACAAAGCGGAATGCATGGCCAACCGATTTTTTGGAATACAAAATAAGAATGACATTACGAGCCAACATTTACAAAGCGGAGTGTATGGCCGTCAGGTTTTTTTGGAACTAAAAATTTAAGTAGGTTCTCGATATTTCCGAATCCGCTCAGTGTTTTGGAAGTTGGCACCAAATAATTATTGTCGATTTAGATTCAACTTACAATGAATGTTCTTAGCCATAACATACATGGTGATTTTTTTTAGTGCGTTTTCCTCGAGTTATGTGTCTTTGAATAAAAAAACTTTGACACGTTTGGTGGAAGAAGTAAACAAATTTTTGTTGGACCATAACTATCTATTGGTGATGGTTTTAAATGTGTGAAAGCTGGCGTATTTTGCCAACATTTTCAGCCAATTGTCAGAAAAAAGTAAACCGGTTGTTGCTGCCTTTGGCAACTACATCTCTCTGTAACGCTGGATTTGTTTCACCCATGCAGCTACTAAAACAAATGCACAAGCCATTTAAATTAAGAAACT